CCTTCCCCCCCCCCCCCCCCCCCCCCCAGTATTAGCAGTATGGATTAATCCTATCTGTGCAAGAATTAAGATTTTGCATTTCTACTTTAGGAAAGAGATTGTAATACGGATGGGAAGTCGTTGCCTGTCTCTCCCCCCAATACACACTTATCCAGGCTGTAAGCATTAGCCCTGGCATTTCCCCTCTTTCCAGAAGAGCTCTTCTGATGCAATGGTCAATGACAGTGGCAGTAAATATTCTCAAGCCTCTTTCTAAGCGTTGTGCAAATTCCTTCTCTTAGGACTCTGAAGAGAAAGACTCATTTTCTACATTTTGCGGAGTGTGTGGCTGTGTTCTTAATTATATGCTGAAATGACTGAATTTGGAGACAACTCCTGAAATAGTTAATGTAATTTGTTCTGGACCTGTATCTCTGGCTGGTTGTTGAAGCACTGTTTGTCAAGTGGTAAGAGCTATATCTGCTGATTGTCTGTCACACTCTTTTCCTGCTCAGGAAACTTAGTCAGTGGTACTAATAGCTAAGAACTGATATTCAGAACTGATTTTCCTCAGTTTTATATTATAATGTTTAGAAAAGGGAAGTTGAATACCGAGCTTTAATCCACAGATTCTATATTGCTATGTTTGTTTCACATTGTTGAGATCACCGTATGTTTTGGTGTGCAGCAAAGCCCCTTGTGTGCCCCTTGATCTAAAGGATGGAATCTGGTTATCTTGTACAGCAATAGAGGGTTACTGTACCAGATCAGGCCAATGACTTGTTTACTTCTGAATTGTTATTTCTTTCAAAAGGTGGCTGAAATACCTGTTTTCCAAGATGCAAAATGTATGTTTTCTCTCTTGTTGATCTTAATCTTGCAGGATAATTAGATATCACAGTTGCTGATTAAATGAATTGAACTCCGCTCAGGTCTTTTCTGAGATTTGTCTTATTTGCTCAGACCAAAGAGCAGAAACATCTCAAGTGAGCAGAATAAGAAAAAAATTATTGTACCTCATTTATACTAGATTTTTATAGGCTGTGGAAATTGTCTGTGTGGGGAGAAGGAATGGGGAATCAGCTATTAATTTACCACTCAAAAAACATGCCTAAAAATACTAGTGGAGATGATTGAAACTTTTATTTCAGCTGCGTGACTTGATTTGATGTTGTATTAAATTTCATTTAAATATATGAAGTATACAATATATGTACACTTAATTCTACCAATGCAAGTAAACCGTGCTCAATAGCTGAACATTTACATGCGTGGCTTCTCCAAACACAACTGGTGGTTGCTTGGAAACTTGGATTTTGCAAGCAAAAGCTTGCCCTGTGGTATGGCTGCATGTATGGTAATGTCCTGCCAGAGCTACCAAACCCCCTTTGGCTGTCAGAGGTGAGGAAATGGCTGAGTGCCACTGTTCTCAATGACCTTCGGAGCTATGGCATCTTATCACACTTATCATAGTAGTGCACCTTGGGATAGTGGCTTTGAGAGGTGAAATGTTCTATGGCCTTAACAAATCAAGTTTTCAGGCTATGCGAAGAGAGGTGGAGGGACAAAAGAAGCTTTAATTCTGCCCTTGTAGTGGCCTGCTGAAATACTGAGACTCTGTCCCAGTGTTGGAAATGACTGTAAAGAGTAAGTGAAGTCTTCAGATATTTTATAAAATTACTTTAGATGTAAGTGCATGAGGGAAGAGCTTCTTCTCACCTTCTTTAAGTAGTTTAAAATAAAACATCTAAAATGTGCCTGAAGAAACTTAACTTATAAGCTTTCTGGTGATTTTTCTTGTTCTCAGTATGGCAAATAAAAACTTCTGGCAACATACGCTGCATGTTGACTCCCCATGTTCTTTGAAGTATTGGCCGTTACCAGAGGGAACAATTTGGAAACCGATGGACCATTGGTCTGTTCCGGTATGGCAGCTCTCCTTTGTTACCATGCAAGATAATCAGCTTCTATCTTATCTTTGCATGCGTGTACCTTGTTCAATTTACTTTGCCTTTGTATACATTTGGTTTAATCGGCAATGATTGTCATTGAGTTTGTTCAAATCCCAAGATGTTTACATAAGCTTGGACTGGCCAGTGGTTGAGATTTGGGAGGCAGGTCTCTAGAAGCCGGCAAACTCTCAGAAGTGTGGCTACATGTGTATGCGTGCAAAGATAAGAAGCGAGGGTAGATAGAATATTCCAGCTGCGTATGTATCAGGACTTACAGTAATCAATAAGGCAATGCAGTGTTTACATAGTGCTGCTTACATACAATACTGCGAGGAAGAAGCGTAACTCCAACTTAAAATCCCATTTTTGTCATGTTTCCAAATGTACTGCAAGCATACTTCCAAACCTGGTTCATAACTGGTGTGTGAACTGTTGAGGAGCAAAAAAGATCTATAAATCACTGTGTGCATGTGCTCACAGATGACTAAGTTTTCTTTCAGACTGAGAAAACTGAGTGAAAAAAGGGGCAAAACATACAAAGTACTATGTTTTGGACATGAACATTGGGATGTTTACACATTTTTGGGGCTTGGAATCAGACTTTCAGATTATTACTTCTATTTTAAAAAGGAGATTTAAATCCTCCAAAATAAGCATGGTTTTTCTAAGTGGAAGGAAAGAAAAATAATTTGATTGCAGTCATATTCTTTCTGCTGCAGTCAATTGCAGGAAGACCCAGGTTCAGCTTTTTTTGGTCTGGTCAAGACTGAGGTAGTTTAGTTGAGGTCAAATTGGCCCCCTTGTTTTGGCATGTGTGAGAGAGATATTGTGCTCCGTGTCATGCAGAGACTGATGCAAACAAATGTTTGTTTTATTTCTATATGACTTTTGTCTATGAGCTCCTGTTGCTTGCAACCAGCATTTAGTGTTTATTTGTATTACTGGAGCCCGGTACTCCCATCCCTTCATCCTAGATACAATTGTAATAGTAGGAATCTGCCAATTTGTCAGTTCACATTTTCAAGAGCATGGTGTGTTACAGCTGTGCAGCGGCTTATATAGATCCTTGAGGTCACGCACGTGCTCAAGGACTACAATTGGGAAAAATGAAGTGGAAACAAGGTGATACTTGTAGCTTCCTCGCCCCCTCCAGCCCTGCCCCACAGTCTAGCATTTTGATTTGCATCAGAGTGGACATTTTTGCAGCCTAGCACTGTGTATCTATCAATGTGCTTGGTAACGATT